CGGTGTCTGTCAGTCGGTGTCTGTCAGTCGATATTTGTCAGTCGGTGTCTGTCAGTCGGTGTCTGTCAGTCATGTGTCGGTCAGTCATCAGTCATCAGTCATCATATCAGTCAGTCAATATCAGTCAGTGTCAGTCAGTATCAGTCAGTCAATATCAGTCAGTGCCAGTCAGTGTTAGTCGGTGTCAGTCAGTCTCAGTCGGTGTCTGTCAGTCGGTGTCTGTCAGTCAATATCAGTCAGTATCAGTCAGTCAGTGTCGGTCAGTCAGTCTCAGTGTCTGTCTGTCAGTGTCAGTCAGTCAGTCTCATTCAGTCAGTCTCAGTCAATGTCTGTCAGTCGGTGTCAGTCAGTCAGAGTCAGTCAGTCAGTGTCATTCAGTATCAGTCAGTCAGTCAGTCAGTCAATGTCGGTCAGTGTCAGTCAGTATCAGTCAATGTCAGTCAGTCAGCGTCAGTCAGTGTCATTCAGTATCAGTCAATGTCAGTCAGTCAGTGTCAGTCAGTGTCAGTCAGTCAGCATCAGTCAGTGTCATTCAGTATCAGTCAATAGTCAGTCAGTGTCAGTCAGTCAGTGTCAGTCAGTCAATATCAGTCAATGTCAGTCAGTGTCAGTCAGTCAATATCAGTCAATGTCAGTCAGTGTCAGTCAGTCCGTGTCAGTCAATGTCAGTCAGTGTCAGTCAGTGTTAGTCGGTGTCAGTCAGTGTCAGTCAGTCAATATCAGTCAGTGTCAGTCAGTCAGTGTCAGTCAGGGTCTGTCAGTCAGTGTCAGTCAGTCAGTGTCTGTCAGTCAGTGTCTGTCAGTCAGTCAGTGTCTGTCAGTGTCTGTCAGTCAGTATCAGTCAGTGTCAGTCAGTATCAATCAGTCAGTTGTAAGTCAGTCAGTCTCAGTCAGTGTCTGTCAGTCAGTATCAGTCAGTCAGTTGTCAGTCAGTGTCTGTCAGTCAGTGTCAGTCAGTCAGTTGTCAGTCAGTGTCTGTCTGTCAGTGTCAGTCAGTCAGTCTCATTCAGTCAGTGTCAGTCATTGTCAGTCAGTGTCAGTCTCAGTCGTGTCTGTCAGTCGGTGTCTGTCAGTCGGTGTCTGTCAGTCGGTGTCTGTCAGTCAGTGTCAGTCAGTCAATATCAGTCAATATCAGTCAATATCAGTCAGTCAATATCAGTCAGTGTCAGTCAGTATCAGTCAGTCAATATCAGTCAGTGCCAGTCAGTGTTAGTCGGTGTCAATCAGTATCAGTCAGTCAATATCAATCAGTGTCAGTCAGTGTCAGTCACTGTCTGTCAGTCATTGTCAGTCAGTGTCAGTCAGTCAGTGTCTGTCATTCAGTCAGTGTCAGTCAGTGTCTGTCAGTCAGTATCAGTCACTCAGTTGTCAGTCAGTCAGTGTCTGTCAGTCGTTGTCTGTCAGTCGGTGTCTGTCAGTCGGAGTCTGTCAGTCGGTGTCTGTCAGTCGGTGTCTGTCAGTCGGTGTCTGTCAGTCAATATCAGTCAGTATCAGTCAGTCAATATCAGTCAGTGTCAGTCAGTATCAGTCAATGTCAGTCAGTCAGTGTTAGTTGGTGTCAGTCAGTCAGTCTCAGTCAGTGTCTGTCAGTCGGTGTCTGTCAGTCGGTGTCTGTCAGTCGGTGTCTGTCAGTCGATATTTGTCAGTCGGTGTCTGTCAGTCGGTGTCTGTCAGTCAGTGTCTGTCAGTCAATATCAGTCAGTATCAGTCAGTCAATATCAGTCAGTGTCAGTCAGTATCAGTCAGTCAATATCAGTCAGTGCCAGTCAGTCAGTGTCAGTCGGTGTCTGTCAGTCGGTGTCTGTCAGTCGGTGTCTGTCAGTCGGTGTCTGTCAGTCAATATCAGTCAGTATCAGTCAGTCAATATCAGTTAGTGTCAGTCAGTATCAGTCAATGTCAGTCAGTCAGTGTTAGTTGGTGTCAGTCAGTCAGTCTCAGTCAGTGTCTGTCAGTCGGTGTCTGTCAGTCGGTGTCTGTCAGTCAGTGTCGGTCAGTCAATATCAGTCAATATCAGTCAGTCAATATCAGTCAGTGTCAGTCAGTATCAGTCAGTGTCAGTGCCAGTCAGTGTTAGTCGGTGTCAGTCAGTCTCAGTCGGTGTCTATCAGTCGGTGTCTGTCAGTCGGTGTCTGTCAGTCGGTGTCTGTCAGTCAATATCAGTCAGTATCAGTCAGTCAATATCAGTCAGTGTCAGTCAGTATCAGTCAATGTCAGTCAGTCAGTGTTAGTTGGTGTCAGTCAGTCAGTCTCAGTCGGTGTCTGTAGTCAGTGTTTGTCAGTCAGTCTCAGTCAGTCAGTGTCAGTCAGTCAATATCAGTCAGTATCAGTCAGTCAATATCAGTCAGTGTCAGTCAGTATCAGTCAGTCAATATCAGTCAGTGCCAGTCAGTGTTAGTCGGTGTCAATCAGTATCAGTCAGTCAATATCAATCAGTGTCAGTCAGTGTCAGTCACTGTCTGTCAGTCATTGTCAGTCAGTGTCAGTCAGTCAGTGTCTGTCATTCAGTCAGTGTCAGTCAGTGTCTGTCAGTCAGTATCAGTCAGTCATTTGTCAGTCAGTATCAGTCAGTCAATATCAGTCAGTGTCAGTCAGTATCAGTCAGTCAATATCAGTCAGTGCCAGTCAGTGTCAGTCAATGTCAGTCAGTGTTAGTCGGTTAGTCTGTCAGTCGGTGTCTGTCAGTCGGTGTCTGTCAGTCAGTGTCATTCAGTCAGTGTCAGTCAGTGCCAGTCAGTGTTAGTCGGTGTCAGTCAGTGTCAGTCAGTCAATATCAATCAGTGTCAGTCACTGTCTGTCAGTCATTGTCAGTCAATGTCTGTCAATCAGTGTCTGTCAGTGTCTGTCAGTGTCAGTCAATGTCAGTCAGTCAGTGTCTGTCAGTCACTGTCTGTCAGTTAGTCTCTGTCAATCTGTGTCTGTCAATGTCTGTCAATCAGTGTCTTTCAGTCAGTGTCAGTCAATGTCAGTGTCAGTCAATGTCAGTCAGTCAGTCAGTGTTAGTCGGTGTCAGTTAGTCAGTCTCAGTTGGTGTCTGTCAGTCGATGTCTGTCAGTCAGTGTCATTCAGTCAGTGTCATTCAGTCAGTGTCAGTCAGTCAGTGTCAGTCAGTCAGTGTCAGTCAGTCAGTGTTAGTCAGTCAATATCAGTCAGTCAATATCAGTCAATATCAATCAGTGTCAGTCAGTCAGTATCAGTCAATGTCAGTCAGTCAGTCAGTGTCATTCAGTATCAGTCAATGTCAGTCTGTCAATATCAGTCAATGTCAGTCAGTGTCAGTCAGTCAGTGTCAGTGTCAGTCAGTCAGTCAATATCAGTCAATGTCAGTCAGTCAGTGTCTATCAGTGTCTGTCAGTGTCAGTCAATGTCAGTCAGTCAGTGTCTGTCAGTCAATATCAGTCAGTGTCAGTCAGTATCAGTCAATGTCAGTCAGTGTCAGTCAGTCAATATCAGTCAGTGTCAGTCAGTATCAGTCAATGTCAGTCAGTGTCAGTAAGTCAGTGTCAGTGTTAGTCGTGTCAGTGTTAGTCAGTGTCAGTCAGTGTCAGTGTTAGTCTGTCAATGTCTGTCAATCAGTATCTGTCAGTCAGTGTCTGTCCGTCAGTGTCAGTCAATGTCAGTCTTAGTTAGTGTCTGTCTGTCAGTGTCAGTCAATGTCTGTCAGTGTCAGTCAGTCAGTGTCAGTCGGTGTCAGTCAGTATCAGTCAATGTCAGTCAGTGTCAGTCAGTGTCAGTCAGTCAGTGTCAGTCAGTCAGAGTCAGTCAGTATTAGTCGGTGTCAGTCAGTATCAGTCAATGTCAGTCAGTATCAGTAAGTCAGTGTCAGTCAGTCAATATCAGTCAGTGTCAGTGTTAGTCAGTGTCAGTGTTAGTCAGTGTCAGTCAGTGTCAGTGTTAGTCAGTGTCAGTCAGTCAATATCAGTCAGTATCAGTCAATATCAGTCAGTATCAGTCAATATCAGTCAGTATCAGTCAGAGTCAGTCAGTGATAGTGGGTGTCAGTCAGTGTCAGTCAGTCAATATCAGTCAATGTCAGTCAGTGTCTGTCAGTCAGTGTCTGTCAGTCAGTGTCTGTCGATGTCTGTCTGTCAGTGTCAGTCAATGTCAGTGTCAGTCAGTCAGTATCAGTTAATGTCTGTCAGTCGGTGTCTGTCAGTCAGTGTCAGTCAGTATCAGTCAGTCAGTTGTCAGTCAGTCAGTCTCAGTCAGTGTCTGTCAGTCAGTGTCAATCAGTCAGTCTCAGTTAATGTCTGTCAGTCGGTGTCTGTCAGTCGGTGTCTGTCAGTCAGTGTCTGTCGGTCAGTGTCTGTCTGTCAGTCGGTGTCTGTCAGTTGGTGTTTGTCAGTCGGTGTCTGTCAGTCATTGTCAGTCAGTGTCTGTCAGTCAGTCAGTCAGTGTCCGTCAGTCAGTGTATGTTAGTGTCAGTCAGTGTCTGTCAGCGTCAATCAGTCTCAGTCAGTGTTAGTCAGTTAGTTGACATCAGTTGGAGTCAGTCAGTCGGTCAGCCAGCCAGCAGCCGTCCAGTCCAGTCAGTCAGTCAGCATCAATCGGAGTCAGTCAGTCAGTTGGTGTCGGTCGGTCGGGTGGCTGGGTCAGTCAAGTCAGTCAGTCGGAGTCTGTCAGTGTCAGTCAGTCTGTCAACAATCAGTGAACCCTCCTGGCTGCCCTCCTGTAGTTCAGTGCATTAATTTGTGGGAGGGTCAGAGCTAAGCCACTTGTGTTAGAAGTCTGGCTGATTTCCCAGCCTGACCCAGAGCGATGATCCCACTCTGCTTCCCGAGTTGAGGTCAAGCAGCTCAGCACAGACAAGATAGAAAGCTGTGACTTTATTGTGTGAATGGATCAGTGTGAGAGTGGAGATGTCCCTGGAGGAGGTGTTTTTGCTGCTGAGGTTTTGTTAACATTGTTGTACTTCAGGGTCCTACCCTTGTTGCTGTTCTGTAAACTGTGTTTGACAGAAATTGTTTGTGAACAGGACCAGTAGCTGTGGTTTCTCTCTCCAGATATTAACGAATGCCGAACCATCCCAGATATCTGTCACAATGGGAGGTGCAGAAACACAATCGGGAGTTTTAGATGCAGGTGTCACAGCGGCTTTGCGCTTGATTCAGAAGACAGAAACTGTACAGGTATTTACCTTCCATTGATAACAACATAAATACATGGATGTTCTCAGGGAGATGCATCCCTGGTACCTGCCTCTTGGGGTGGGGGAGGTATACCGCGTCTCCTTGGCAACAGAATGTCGTCATCGAGCCAGGGTGGTGTGGGGTGGGGCGGGGTGGGGTGGGGTGGGCTGGAGGTCCACAAGCCTTGGTTCTTACCAAACTATGGCTAATATTCTTCACAATTAAGTAAAAAGGGTGCTCCACGTTGTGTTCCAGACATGGGGATTTCCATATGTAGATGGCAGACATGGAACTCTGTCTGGTTTGGATACTGTTTCGGGGCAGTCTCGAGGGGCCGAATGGCCTCCTGCTCTTAATTCTTATGTTCTAAGCATGGTGTAAAGTGGCCACGTGTGTCAGACACCTGCCTTACTAAAACAGACTTGTTTACATGAATGTGGATGTTAACATTAAGCATTAAGGAAGTAATAACTGCTGAGCATCATATGGTGGGAGAGGTGAGGCTGCTTACTCCCCCCAGCTCAGGCCACAAAGTAAAGCCACTGTAATGCTTGTTTTCTTGTTAGCATCACATCAATAGATCAATTGTTACCATTTCCTGTAATAAAGGGAATGTTTTTATATAAAACTAAAATTGATCTTCACACTGTCAGTGGCAGGTAGAGTCAGAGGAAACAACAGTCACAATGAATTAGCTAAGTGAGTGTACCAGAGTCCTGTAGCTCAGTGGTTAGAGCACTCGCCTCGCAAGCGAGAGGCCCCAAGTTTGTTTCCTCAGTAGAGCGAACCTGTAGGGGAGTTTCCTTACTCCACACGTCTCTGTTTACCTAGCAGTAAGTAGGAACCTGATTGTTATTCGATCGATGGATCGCTTTTCCGGGGGTAATAATCCCTTCCCCCAACAAAATGGTCACTCAATCCATGACTGTTTGTGGGACACTAGTGTGCAATTGGCTGCTGCGTTTTGCCCACGAAATATATAGTCAATCCACTATACAGTATATTCTGTGAAGCTCTTTCAGATGCCTCAACAACGTGATAAGATGCTATATCAAATGTAAGGATTATTATTTATTATTAATATACAACCCAGGAGTCACCATGGAATTACAGTCAGTCTCTCCAGATCTAACAAAAGGTAAAATACTGTTGATGCTGGAAATCTGAAATAAAAACAGAAGAAGTCGCTGGGAACACTCAACAGGTTAGGCAGCATCTATGGAGAGAGGAAAGTGAGTTAAATGCTGCCTGAGCTGCTGAGTGTTCCAAACGACTTTTCTTTTCTCCAGAGAATTAACCTGGTCTGAGAGAATACACTGTCTCAGTTAAAATAGTCATTCAGTTCATCTGAAAAAAGAATTGGTTTGGGAACGGCCTTTTCAGATCTACAATATTGATTTATATTTATCCAGCAGCTATTAAAAAATAGTCGTTAATCATCTTTGGACTCTAAAGCAACATCAAAGGTCTCTATGGTGAATTGCCAGAAATACAGTGCATATTCAATGCTGGCTTGTTTCTTTACATTAAATTGGTGATGTGTTGCCTCATGTTAATGCAGGCTTGTTCCCTGTGTAGATATTAATGAATGTCACATCTCACCGGACCTGTGTGGACCTGGACACTGTGTCAACACTCAGGGCAGCTTTGATTGTGAATGTTTTGAAGGATACGAAAGTGGGTTTATGATGATGAAGAATTGCATGGGTGAGTTACACACTACATCATTGTATCCAGCCACCTGACTGTAACATTAGCTTCTGTTACTAAGGTAATCTGCACATGGGTATAAAGTAAAGATTTACCTCTCAGTTGCACGTTTTGCAATAATATATAATCCTAATGATGTGCCTAAATCTCAGTCTTTATCCACAGTGTATCCCATCAATTCTGTGTGCTAACATTCCCTCCTTGATCACCCTCCTGCAAACCTCCCCCACCTCCATCATCTCATGCATCACCTTCTCCTGAAGTAAGCAGGGTCTCTTTGGAGCTGAACTGGTTTCAAGGTGACATGTTTGGCAATGGGATGTCTGAATCAAGCCAGCCCTCTGTGGTGGTCACGGTAGTCCATTTTCTAAGCCCAGTCTGGCTTATCAGCAGGACTTGGAACCAGGACTTGGAAGGGCAGACTAGGCGCAGGGACTCTTCCCACTTAGCTCCTGTTAAATCTGCCAGCCAAAGCCCTAATGGGAAGGGTGGTCCTAGTTGGACAAGCAGTAGGAAAACTTGCCAGTTTTAAATTCCAGCAGTTACACCAACAAACACTCTGGGATCCCCAAGCCTTGGCTCTTGCCAACCTGCGCCTTTCTGGAATTAGGTAAACAAGATGCACATTCCATTCCAACAATCTATCTTGAGGATTTCCATGTGGAGTTCTATAGCTCAGTGGTTAGAGCACTTGCCTCGCAAGCGAGAGGATGTGGGTTCGATACTGTGCGTGGCAAAACGCTAGGCAAGTTTCCTTACTCCCCACGCCTCTGGTTACCTAGCAGTAAGTAGGAACCTGTTGTTAGTTAATTGGCGGATCACTTTTCCGGGGGTAATAATCCCTTCAAAAAATAATAATAATAATAATATGGTCACTCCATCCACAACTGTTTTTGGGACACTGTTGTGTGCAATTGGCTGCTGTGTTTCACCCACAAAATATACAGTCAATTCACTTTACAGTGTATTCTCTATATTGTCTTGAAGGTGCGATAAGGGGCTATATCAAATGCAAGGATTGTTATTTTATTATCATAGATAGGATGCATGGAACTCTGTTTGATTTGGATCCTCTTAAGCATGGCGATGGGTTTTCACATGTGTCAGACACTTGGCTGACTCAAAAAAAAAATTCAACTCATGTCCTCTCCTGTACCAGGCTCCGCAAGCCTATCAGCCTGATATCTCGCCTGGCTCCATTGGCTCCCAATCCCCCAGAGCATTAAGTTTAAAATCCTCATTCTCACCCGCCCTATCTGCCCCACCATCGGCAGTGGGTCTTTCAGTAAATCTGCCCCCACTATCCTGGAGTCACTTTGACTTGTCTCCTTCTTCACCTCTTTCAAGATCCGTCTTGAGTAAGCTTCATTTGAATATGCCTTCGGTCATCTTTCCCCTCCCCATCCCCTCGTGCCCATCTTCAGCTCGGGTACCATTGTCGAGTGTCCTGGGATATGCTCCTGATGTGAAAGGCACTGTGAAGATATAAACTGTAATGTTGTATTTTCAGATATTAATGAATGTGAGCGAGACCCTCTACTGTGTCGGGGAGGCAACTGTGAAAACACTGATGGGAGTTTCCGCTGTGTGTGTCCTCATGGCCATGAGGTGTCCCCAGATGGGACATTGTGTACAGGTGAGCTGCTGCCGGGTACAGTCAACACAAAGAACCAACGGGATCACACACTCAGAGCTCGGGCCCTGTGCTGAGTGAGCTGATCTCAGCTTAGGAACAGGCTGTGTGTAATGGGGACGGGCTGTGTGTAATGGGGTCGCAATCTGATCAGTTGCAAAGGAATTGTTTTAAATTGTTTATGTTGTAGTGAGAGTATCAGACTGGCTCAATTGATAGCCCTATCACCCTGGTCAGAAGATTGTGTTATTGGGATACAGTTCACAGTCTGGGCTGATACTCCAGTGCAGTGCTAGGGGAGGGCTGCATTATCAGAAGTACCGTCCTTGAGATGTTAAACCGCGGCCCCATCTGTCTGTTCAGGTGGAAGTTAAAAATCCCATGACAGTATTCAAAAAAAGAAGGGAGTTTCTCCCGGTCTCCTGACTGACAATCCTCCAGATAAAATTGGTCACTCATATCCTGACTGTTTATAGGATATTGCTGTGTGTAATTTGGCTGTCGCATTTATCTATATATTCACTTTTCATTAAATTCTGTGAAGTGCTTTGAGACATCTTCCTGATCATGTGATAAGGCACTGATCAGATGCAAGGACTTATTATTGCTGTGTACGTCCCTGTGTTATTATTGCTGTGTAAGTCACTGTATATATTGATCACTCTCTGCCTGTAGATATTAATGAGTGTGAGCTGAGTGACAATCTTTGTAAGAACGGTCGCTGTGTCAACATGATTGGACGCTACCAGTGTGCATGCAATACCGGTTACCAAGCAACACCAGATAAGCAAGCCTGTGTGGGTAAGATCTTTATTCATTACTTTAGTGGGAAAAGACATTCCTTGTGCGCTTGTTTATTTGAATAACCGATGGGGGGGAGTTGGGGCAGGGGCTGGTGTGGAGTATAAACCCATTCACTGATTGGGATGAGGAGCTTGTTTATGAATTGTAGATCTTGTGAATAACATCTTGTTTTACATAATTGCTGCAACTATTGTACAATCACACCAGTGAGGAGGTTATGTAGCTGTTGCTTGTCTGGGGTGATCTGATTGTCTTTCTGTTGTAGACATTGACGAATGTACAATATTGAATGGAGGGTGTGAAACGTATTGTACAAACTCACGAGGCAGTTATGAGTGTAGCTGCAGGAACGGCTATGCACTGATGCCTGACCAGAGGTCCTGCACAGGTGAGAGGGTGGGGCAGAGGGGGTGGGGGGAGATTGGGTGGGAAGAGAGGGAGAGGGGGGGAATGGAGTGGGGGGAGAGGGGTGGAGGGAGAGGGGCAGAGACATGATTTAGACAGCACAAAATTGTCTGCTGTATATTACTGTATTTAGTGCAAGTTAATGGGAATGACAGGTTACTGGTTCTGATATCTAAATATTTACTGCTGGACAATAAGGAACAATAAGCCAGTAATGTGAATTATAAACTTAGTTCTAACACCGGGATTGTGGGCTTGTACATGCCAAATAGTAACATTTTAAAAGGTGAGACCTCAGAATAAGCAGGTGGGACGGCAACTGGATAGGGCCATGAATAATGGGGAAGCTGGTAATGTCGCTACCGCACTGACTGCTTGCCGGGTCACTGTCTGGCAGCTATTCACATGGGGAAACGCACTGATTGAGAAAGTGGGGAGGGGGGGGAGAGAGAGAAATGGAGAGGAAGAAATGGAGCGGGGAAAGAGAGTTATTGGGAGAGGGCATGAGGGACGGGGAGAGAGAGAAACAGTGAATGAAAAGAATGGGCTACCATAGCTTTAATATATAAGGGATAAACATGGTACAGAAACCTTGCATTATTGTCACCAGACGGAATGTGTAACACTTATGTATGTGTTATATGTAAATCATATAAAATCCAATGAATGCATAACTTTACGTAAATCATATATCATATGACTTATGCACGTTTGACATAAGTCACACTTTGCATAAGTCATAATCCCTCCAAAACAAAAAACAATAATAAATTGGTCATTTTCAATCCACGATTGTTTGTGGGACATTGCTGTGCACAATTGGCTGCCACGTTTCACCCACAAATATACGGTCAATTCACTTTACAGTCTATTCTGTGAAGCGCTTTGAGACCTTGAGAAGACGTGAAAAAGGGCTATATCAAATACAAGAATTATTTATATTATTTATTAAATGTATGGTCCCGACTGATATGACTTGTGTGAGGTTTACTCTAGTGAGGTGGTATATGTTATCAGATGTTTGCCTTGTCTGAATGTCTTATCTTCTTGTAGATATTGACGAGTGTGAGGACAACGCTGATATTTGTGACGGAGGGCAGTGTGCCAATGTGCCCGGGGAGTATCGCTGTCTGTGCTATGATGGATTTATGGCATCTGAAGACATGAAGACTTGTTTAGGTCTGCCTTGGTTGTGTTTTGTTTCTATCATTGACTGAATTTACATCCAACAATGTCAGAAAGCATTGAAAGTGATGTCATGGCATTAGCCAATGAATTGAATAAAGCTTCTCAAAGTGCTGATGTCTATCTTGGAGAATGCTGCAAATCATTTCCAATTTCTTTTGTGCAGATGTCAATGAATGTGAACTCAATCCAAACATATGTCTGAGTGGCAGCTGTGAGAACACGAAAGGATCCTTCATCTGTCACTGTGAGCTGGGATACTCTGTGAAGAAAGGGACAACTGGCTGCACAGGTAATTGATCACTCCTCATTACTCAGAACTCTCTTCTGTCTCCGTCTCCATTCCAGTACATCATTCCTGATAGAAAACCTCCCTGTCTCATTTTAGTTGTATGAAGAATTTATGATTGATAGTTTTGGATAGTTGTATGATGTATTTCAAACATCATTTCAAAAAGCTGGATCTTCTGATTGCTATTAGTTGTGGCATTGTGAAAGCTGTACATTGATATTATCTCTAAAACTTGAGGGAACGACTGCAGGAGACGAGCTCTGGAGGCTCCCCCATTCTGTTACTTTCTGTGTGAGTTCAAAGCAATTATTATTGTAACAGCCACTGAAGGTGTAGGAATGATCAGACTTTTATAACCTTCCACCCAGCACACTGCCTATTTTTAAATGACTGTTTTCAGCTCACCAGCCGCCTTCCTTATACAGAAATAGCCAAACTTACAGGAAGATCCAGTTTCACAATCACAACCATGGAGTTTGTTCCATTTCCTCTCACCCCACCCGACCTCTGCAACATCCATAACCCTCCTGACCCCAGTCTGTCGCTCACTGTCTGACAGTCTGATCCTCACTGTCTGACAGTCTGACCCTCACTGTCTGACAGTCTGACCCTCACTGTCTGACAGTCTGATCCTCACTGTCTGACAGTCTGACCCTCACTGTCTGACAGTCTGACCCTCACTGTCTGACAGTCTGACCCTCACTGTCTGTCAGTCTGCCCTCACTGTCTGACAGTCTGAACCTCACTGTCTGTCAGTCTGACCCTCACTGTCTGACAGTCTGACCCTCACTGTCTGACAGTCTGACCCTCACTGTCTGACAGTCTGACCCTCACTGTCTGACAGTCTGACCTTCACTGTCTGACAGTCTGAACCTCACTGTCTGTCAGTCTGACCTTCACTGTCTGTCAGTCTGACCCTCACTGTCTGACAGTCTGACCCTCACTGTCTGACAGTCTGACCCTCACTGTCTGACAGTCTGAACCAAACTGTCTGTCAGTCTGACCCTCACTGTCTGTCAGTCTGACCCTCACTGTCTGACAGTCTGACCCTCACTGTCTGACAGTCTGACCCTCACTGTCTGACAGTCTGACCCTCACTGTCTGTCAGTCTGACCCTCACTGTCTGTCAGTCTGACCCTCACTGTCTGACAGTCTGAACCTCACTGTCTGACAGTCTGAACCTCACTGTCTGTCAGTCTGACCCTCACTGTCTGTCAGTCTGACCCTCACTATCTGACAGTCGTGCTCGGCTTAATTCGCTTTAATGTGGCCAGTTTATGCATTGGTATTAAATTGTAACAAAATGTCATTTACAATTTTATTTTTGGAACAGAATTTTATTTAGCATTACTGTAATATCAGTGAGAACTCCTGAGCCGTGTCCCCAGCCTGGCCACAGGGACCAATGACTGGCAGATTACCTGCGGTCTGGCCATACCTTAGTGCGTAAGCAACCAGTGCATCAGCTTGAACACAGTGTGCTCTGCTGTAAGAAATATTGTGGATTTTTTGGGCTTGATATTAACGGCAACAATTATTATTGTTTGGTCCTTTTTTTATAATTGCGCCTTTATCTGAGGATAGCGTGGTAGAAATACAAGAACGGTAAGTTAACATTAATTCTTCATTCATTTAATTACTAAACCGATTTGAAAGCTGGCTGGTTTATTCCAGCATCATTGTATTCAAGAAAAGAAAATATTGGTGCTTTAGTTCTGTTGCACGCTGGCATCTGCGTATGTTACAATCTGCTCTGATATTAAAGTTGAGTGACTCATTAAATCAGAATTCCACACAGGAATGTCATGCCTGCTAGTTATTTGTGGTTCAGGACAGTTTTGGCATTGACTTCTTGGCCTTCAGCCTTTGTTTTTGTGCTGTTTAGTTTTCACAAGAACAATAAAAGACCAGTATGTCCAATACCTTATAGAATGAAATCCAGATCAGGCCTTCACTTCTCAGATTTTAAAGAAAGAATTCTGTTTTGTCTGGGTGATTTATGAAATGGTCTGTTTACTTGGTTTCCCATTCTAAGCTGAGTAAACAAACCTTGGATTCATTGTGTTAGCCTCTCCCAACTCCAGCTACATTTGGCCATCGTCATCTCCCACAGGAGCTACAGCAGACATTGGCCTGTGAGTAACATTACAACACTCCTCTTGATCTTCCTCGAGGAACACTGCATTTTAAGGAATTTCTCCTGTCATCACATTTGATTTTTCCATGCGAGTGTTTTGTGTACAATATAACAATGCCCTGAAGGCTGGACTCTGCCCAATGCAACCAGACCCAGACCTTGTAACAACATATCTATCTGAACCAGACAGTCTACAGACTAAGTAGGAATACTGCACTTTGCTGTGTTACCATTTCTCTGTCTGCAACATGTAGACCAATGATAGAATAGATAGATATAATAGAATTATACACCACAGAAGGAGGCCATTTGGCTCATCGTGTCTGTGCTGCTCTTTGAAAGAGCTTCCAAATTAACCCCACTCCCCCGCTCTCTCCCCATAGCCCTGATCAACCCCACTCCCCCGCTCTCTCCCCATAGCCCTAATCAACCCCACTCCCCCGCTGTCTCCCCACAGCCCTGATCAACCCCACTCCCCTGCTCTCTCCCCATAGCCCTGATCAACCCCACTCCCCTGCTCTCTCCCCATAGCCCTGCAAACTTATCCTCCCCAAATATCTATCCAACAACAACAAAATTCCAAATGTAAAGCTCCGTTCACATCGGGAGGACGTCCCAAAGCGCTGGACAGACAGAGTTATGGACACGAGCTGAGGAGGGTGGGGGAGAGGGGAGGGCAGGGGGGAAGCAGCAAGATCAAAACCAAGGTCGAAGAGGAGGGTTGGAGGTGGATCTTGAAGGTGGCCGGGGAGGGGGTGAGGCGGAGGGACTGCAGGATGGAGTTCCAGAGGTTGGGGGCAGAGTGGCGAAAGGCCCGCCCGCCAATGGTGGGACGAGCGAGACGGGGAACGTGAAGGAGGCCAAGCCCACTGAATGGAGGGAGCGAGCAGGATGGTAGAGGGTTAGCTCAGAAAGGTAGTGGAGAAGCAAGACCATGGAGGGCTTTGAAGGTGAGGACCAAGATCTTGAACTGTATCCTCTGTGTGATGGGAAGCCATTGGAGTCGGGCGAGGATGGGGGTGATAGGGTCACGGAGCCTGGTGGGGGTGATGATGGGGGTGATAGGGTCACGGAGCCTGGTGGGGGTGAGGATGGGGGTGATAGGGTCACGGAGCCTGGTGGGGGTGAGGATGGGGGTGATAGGGTCACGAAGCCTGGTGGGGGGGTGATAGGGTCACGGAGCCTGGTGCAGGAGAGGACATGGGCTGCAGAGTTCTGGATGATCTTCAACCTATGGAGGGAGGAGTTGGGGAGGCCAACAAGCAGAGAGTGCACAGTCGAGCCTCGATGTAATGAAGGCGTGTATGAGGGTTTCAGCGGCCTGCTGTGGCCACTTCTCGCTTGAAAGTTGTTAGGCAATGCATTCCAGATCCGAGCAACGTTGTGTAAACCAGTTCCACCAGTGGAAACTGTTTCTTGCTGTTCACCCTCATAATTTTGAACATCTCTATTAATCTTCTATTAAATCTCCCCTTAACCTTCTCTGCTCGAAGGAGAATAACTCCAGCTTCTCTCGCCACTCCTGATAACTGAAGTCCCACATTCCTGATACCATCCTGGTAAATCTCCTTTGCACCCTCTCCAATGCCTTGACATCCAACAACAACAACAAGATTCCATTTATAGAGCACCTTTCACGTCGGGAGGACGTCCCAAGGCCTGGACAGTGGGTCAGGACCCGAGCCTTGGAGGGAAAATGGTGAGGGGAGGGAGCGAGGAGGGGGGGAAATGGTCAGGGTGAGAGGAGGGAAGGGAGGGAGCGAGAAGAGGGTAGAGAGTCGAGAGGGGAGCTGAAGGCACGGTCAAAGAGAAAGGTCTTGAGACCGGCTTTGAAGGAGGAAAGGGAGGAAGCGGCAAAGGCACTGGGGATACAGTTCCAGAGCCTCGGGGCTGAGAGGCTGAAGGCCCGGCCACCGATGGTAGGGCGGTTGGGGCGGGGGATGTGGAGCAGACCGGAGCCAGAGGAACGGAGGGTACGGGCAGGTAAGTCGGGGGATAGTAGGTCGGAGAGGTAGGAGGGAGCGAGGCCGTGAATGGCCTTATAGGTGAGGATGAGGATCTTGAATTCGATCCTCTGGGGGATGGGGAGCAGTGGAGGCGAGCGAGGGTGAGGGTGAGGGCGAGGGTGAGGGTGAGGGTGGGAGTGATGTGGGCGCGGTGTCTGGTGGGGGACAGTACATGAGCTGCAGAGTTCTGAATGACCTGCAGTGTGGAGGGAGGACCGGGAAGGCCGACGAGGAGAGAGTTCCCATAGTCCAGCCTTGAGGTGATGAAGGCGTGGACCAGAGTTTCAGCCGCGTGAGGCGTGAGGTAGTGCCGTAGTCTGGCGATGTTCCTGAGGTGATGGAAGGCGGTGCCAGTTGTGGCGCAGATATGAGGGAGAAAGGACAGCTCAGGGTCGAACAGAACACCGAGGTTCCTGATGTCTTTGAGAGGTGGAGAGTGCGGTTTGGAGCTGATGGTGTCAGCGCCTGAGGTGCGGAGGCGCTGACGTGAGCCAATCAGGAGGGCCTCAGTTTTTCGCACGTTGAGCTGAAGAAAGTTGTCTCTCGTCCAGGACTCGATGTCGGACAGACAGCTGTCAGGACATCGGGGGTCGTGGAGTTGAGGGTAGAGGAGGAAAGGTAGAGTTGGGTGTCATCCGCATACATGTGGGAGTTAACAACAACAACAACAACAACAACAAGATTCCATTTATAGACCCATGTCTGCGGATGATGTCACCACAGGGGGAGCATATAGAGGGTGAAGAGGAGGGGACCGAGGACAGAGCCCTGAGGGACACCGCACGAGACAGTGCGGGGGGTGGAGGAGAAGCCGTTTTTCGAAACAAAATGAAGACAGTGGGAGAGGTACGACCTAA